CCTGCAGGAGGCAGAGGAGGGAGGGATGACAGAGGGACTGACTGCTGAGATTACGGAGAACGGGCGCTTTAAAGGGCTGGGGACACACAGGCCGTGCCCACTAGCTCTGGATGACAGGGGGCAGGGTTGCGTGGGAGCTGAGCAGGCACCCCGCCCCTGGGCCAAGCAGCCGATGCCAGCTGGCGCCGTGCTGTCATCGTCGCAGCCAGCGCACGTGCTGGCCATGCGGTACGCCCGCTGGCCATGCGGTACGCCCAGAACCCACCCCACTCGCCTTTTGGGCCACCACCTTGACCTGCGAGGCCTGCGGCGTGTTCTCAAAGCACTTGACCTGGTGCGCCAGGCTCTCCTCCTCCTGCGGCCACGTGGAGGCAGGGTAGCAAGACAGGCATGGGGAGGAAGCGCAGCAATGCTTGTGAACAGAGCATGGCTGCAAAGTGCTGGGCACCTGGCCCACCGCATGATGCTGGCACTGCTTGCCTGCCAGCCAGGCGTGCCCTTGCGGTGCACAATCAGGCGGTCGGGGTATCGCATCTCTCGGCTCCACCGCAGCTCAAAGGCCAGCACATCATCCCACCGCACTGCACGCACGCATTGACACGGCGGCACCGCAGATGGTTGCTAATTAAAGCGAGGGCGCCAAGAGTTGGGCTCGGGGCGTCAGGCCGGCATACCAGCATGGCCCTCGCTGCCGGCGGAAGCTGGTGCTTCCTTCCCTGCCGCACCTGCCCACTGCATCTGACCAGGAGCCACATCACTGACGCTGATGGCGCCTGCATGGGCAGAGCAGCAGGGGTGGACAGCGACAGTGGGAGCCTAATCACACAAATGGCTGCCGCCACCGCCGCAGTTGTCACTACCAACCACTTCCATCACCACCACGCGCCCACCTATCTCCGCAGCGCCGTCCAGCTGGGCAAAGCCTGGGGCGTGCACCAGCAGGAGGCCCGCGCTGGTGAGCAGCACCACTCGGTCGTCGGGCAGCACAAAGTGCTCCTCGTAAGCCTCTGCTTGGGGGAGGAGGCAGAGGGGAGCGCAGGAAGCAGGCCAAGTTGTACTCATGTGGTGGGGGCGCCTCTCTCCTGACACTGTACCGCTGCAGTACCTCAAGGAGATCTGGAGGATTGTGAACTGGCGCGACGTGGGCCGGCGCTATGAAGATGCCACCGGTGCTTGATGGGCTGTGGCCTGTCAGCGACCTGCTTGCTCCCTGCCGGGGACGGGCTTGGGGCAGACTAGTTGCCTCCCTTTGTTGGGCTAGCGCTGTTTTGGTATTCTGACTCTATCATGGGCACCTGTTGCAACTTCAACCAACGATAGATGAATCAGGCAAGCGATACAAGAACAGAAGCAGAGCAGAGTTGGACACAAAGAAAGAGCAAGCAAAAAGCATGACAACGAAACAGGTGCAGCACGGGCTGCCAAGAGCTCCAACTGCCAGTGGTGGGTCACGACGCCTGCCCCGAGGGCGCAGGAGCAGCCTGCTGCCTGCTGGCCGCCTTCTCTTCTATACACTGCACCGTGCGCGGCACGCCTGCCGGGGGCGCCGAAAAGGCGCGCACTGCGATGAAGGTTCCCATGCAGTTGTCCACCTGCATGCAATGCCACCAGAGGGACAGGCAGCCAATCAGAACTCAAGGTGCGGCTGCAGGGGCACAAGCCGCAGGCATGGCCATGGCAGGAGGAGGAAGAGTGCAGGCACAGCTCAGCAGCAGGCCCACCTGCCAGATGGACACTTTCCAGGTCTCGGGGTGGTGCGGCTTGAACTCGCGCTGCACCGGCAGCACCCTGCTGCTGCTGCCGGCCAGCTGCGCCGCGGCGGCCTGCGCCGACAATGTGCATGAAGAGGCTCAGGCTGGTGCTGCGATGGAATGCTCGCTGGCTGCGGAACGCAGGTAGGCAGTCGCCCCATGCGAGCAATCAGGACGCACTCAGTCCCGCTTGCCTGTAGTGCTGGTACAGGGTCGTACTGCCAGATGGGCGAGTTAAATACCCGCGTCGTAGCCGTCAGGTCGCTCCTGCAAACAGAAGCGGCGTGGCGGGCGCAGGCGTGGCGTGAGGCGCCTGGCAAATGGGTTGCCATGGTCTGTACCTGCCCCCCCATGTTGGCATCTCTTCAGCCAATGCCCCCCATGATCCCCCATCCACTGATACACGACCCCCTCTTCCACTACTGCACTCCCACCTGATACACAGGTATTCGTCTGTGGCCGGTGCCTCGGGCTCTCCCCGCACCACCGCTCCCAGCGCAGCGTAGCCGGGCGGCGCCGCCGGCATCCACACCGTCACAGGCCGCTTGCCATTGTAGCGCCAGATGAGGGAGAACTCCCTGGGACGCATCGTGGGCGGCGGCTCGCTTTCGTCCTGCTGCTTACTGGTGCTGCGGCCAGGGCAGGAAGAGGCAGGGCGAGAAGGACAAGCGGGGCAGGAGAGGGGAAGGTTACACACTCTGTTGAGGCAGCTTGTATCCCGGACTTGGCTCGAAAGCTGAATGCAAGTGTTATCTCGTCTGCGTCCTTTCCCACCTGATGTTCAGGCCCATGTCATCCCGGAAGCACGGCACCGGCGCGGCGGGAGGGTCCAGCCCCAGCGCCAGCACATCGCCCACAGCGCGGTACCCTGTGGTACAGCGGAACCGCGAACAGCTCAGGCATCAAGCCAAGATGAAGCAGAGCAGGCAGAGCAGCAGCGCAGAGCGGCCGTCCTGTGTGCTGCACATTCCCTGTGTGGCAGCAGTACCCAGCCGCCACCCAGCAGCCAGGCACGCACCCGCGGGCGCCAGCGGCTTCCAGAAGCTGACCACCGGCGACTTCTTAGGGTTGGTGTGCCAGGTCAGCACAAAGTCCAGGCAGGGCATGGTGAGCGGCAACTGCAGGGGGAGCAGAGTATTGAGGGATCGGCTGACCCTCAGCATGCCAGGCCAAACATCTTCTCCTCTGCTAGCCGCAACCATCCAGCAGTTGATTGCGGGCAGTGGCATGCAGCACACGAAGCGCAGCCAGGCCAGGCAGCCCACCCTGCGCCCCAAGCCACCTGCTCCAGCGGCGTGTCTGGCGGCAGCATGCTGCGCGCATCATGCCGCTGGCTCCACATCTTGTTGCGCCGCAGCGGATCCAGGTAGTATTTGCGCAGCACCTGCAGGAGGCAGAGGAGGGAGGGATGACAGAGGGACTGACTGCCTGAGATTACGGAGAACCGGGCGCTTTAAAGGGCTGGGGACACACAGGCCGTGCCCACTAGCTCTGGATGACAGGGGGCAGGGTTGCGTGGGAGCTGAGCAGGCACCCCGCCCCTGGGCCAAGCAGCCGATGCCAGCTGGCGCCGTGCTGTCATCGTCGCAGCCAGCGCACGTGCTGGCCATGCGGTACGCCCGCTGGCCATGCGGTACGCCCAGAACCCACCCCACTCGCCTTTTGGGCCACCACCTTGACCTGCGAGGCCTGCGGCGTGTTCTCAAAGCACTTGACCTGGTGCGCCAGGCTCTCCTCCTCCTGCGGCCACGTGGAGGCAGGGTAGCAAGACAGGCATGGGGAGGAAGCGCAGCAATGCTTGTGAACAGAGCATGGCTGCAAAGTGCTGGGCACCTGGCCCACCGCATGATGCTGGCACTGCTTGCCTGCCAGCCAGGCGTGCCCTTGCGGTGCACAATCAGGCGGTCGGGGTATCGCATCTCTCGGCTCCACCGCAGCTCAAAGGCCAGCACATCATCCCACCGCACTGCACGCACGCATTGACACGGCGGCACCGCAGATGGTTGCTAATTAAAGCGAGGGCGCCAAGAGTTGGGCTCGGGGCGTCAGGCCGGCATACCAGCATGGCCCTCGCTGCCGGCGGAAGCTGGTGCTTCCTTCCCTGCCGCACCTGCCCACTGCATCTGACCAGGAGCCACATCACTGACGCTGATGGCGCCTGCATGGGCAGAGCAGCAGGGGTGGACAGCGACAGTGGGAGCCTAATCACACAAATGGCTGCCGCCACCGCCGCAGTTGTCACTACCAACCACTTCCATCACCACCACGCGCCCACCTATCTCCGCAGCGCCGTCCAGCTGGGCAAAGCCTGGGGCGTGCACCAGCAGGAGGCCCGCGCTGGTGAGCAGCACCACTCGGTCGTCGGGCAGCACAAAGTGCTCCTCGTAAGCCTCTGCTTGGGGGAGGAGGCAGAGGGGAGCGCAGGAAGCAGGCCAAGTTGTACAGAAATAAAAATGCCAGGTAGGCAGGGGTAGGCTCGACCACAGCATACCCAGAGTACAGCTAAGGCCAATGCGGAGCACGCTTCCTGCCGCCCTTGTGCCGCACCTGTGCCAGCCGCTCCCTGCCGCTTCATGCGCAGCCCGTCTGGCGTGGCCAGCAGCGTGTTGCGCAGCAGCGCCTGCCCAATCTCCTCGATGCGCGCCTGCAGCGGTGGGCGGCAGCGGGCGCATCAGCATCAGCAGCTTACCACGACAGCTGACTCCATGCCTGCGGCAAGCGCTCCCGCGACATCCGGGTCATCTCCTCATCCCGCCGTCCCCAAGCCCCCACCCCGCTGCCAGCCGCCCCTCACCTGCTTGGTGGAGCCGTCGCGCACCAGCGGCAGCAGCTTGCCCTCCCCGCTGACCACGCGGGCGGGGCGCCGCCGCTCCACCACCAGCAGCTGGTCCTTGGGCTTCCCAAAGCTGGCGTCAAAGCCCTGGGCGGTGGCGCTGCAGGAGTGGGGAGCGAGCAGGGACGAGAGGGAGGGAGGTCACTGGACAGCAGGCAGTCCACCAATGCGGCAGCCACGGCGCCCTCCTCCAGCTGACGCCCATTGGGTGCCGCCACGGCAGCAGCTGCGCCTCGCTCCTCACCTCAGCGCATCCAGCATGCCGCTCACAGGGCTTGCCACCGCTCCGATGATGCCCTTGCCAATCCCCTTGACCGCGCCTGCACACCCATTGCGGCACGTCGAGGCCAATGTTGGTAAGGCAAGGCACACACTGAAGTGCAGCGGCACAGCTTTCCCCTCGGGCTGTGCGCACGCCAGGCAAAGCGCCCGTACCTTCCACGCCCGCCTGCTTGGCCCCCTGCAGCGGCTTCTCAATCAGCCCCCGGAAGCCGCGCAGCACCGAGGAGCCCATGGCGCCCACCCCCTCCAGCATGCCATCCCCCACGTCTGTGATGCTGCGCTTCTGCTTGGCCTCCTGCTGCTCCGCCGCAGCGCTGCACGGGCGGGCCGCCGGGCAGGAGACGGCGGCAGGGGTCATGCACACGTCGGTCGAGGGGTTCCCCCACCAGGCCGGCTGCGCCTGCAACAACATGGGCCGCTCACCTCTTGCTGCCCGCCGCCAGCTTGGACACGGCGGCGCTCAGCGCGCCCAGCGCGCGAGAGGTGCCGCCGATGAGCCCGAAGTTACGCATCAGGGACAGCGTCACGCTGCGCAGCAGGAGGGTGGGAGGGAGGGATGTAGGACAGAGGCAGAAGGTAGAAAGCAGCAGCACCGAGGGCTGCGGGGATGGGCCGGCAGCGGGGCAGGGCGGCGCCTGCTCACTAGAACAGCTGGCTGCGGATGTGGTGCAGGATGCTGGCGGTGAGCGCGCTCTGCAGGGCAGTGGAGGGGCGGGAGACACAGAACTGGGATGTCAGGCGGGGGCAATGAAGTGAGGCAGTGAGGCCTCGAGGGAGGGCAGCTGGCGCACTGTGTAGAGGCCCGGCGCTCTCGCCTGCAGCATGTTGACGTTTGCCTCGCTCAGGCCCTGCAGGCTGATGGGAGCTGCCTGGAAGTTGGCCAGGTCGATGATGCTGGACAACAGTCCCCCCGCCAGGTCCCTGCGGGCATGGAAAAGAAAGAAAGAAACCACCCAGGCTGTAATAGGGGTAACACCAGACGAAGCTGAGCCAGCTTAACCAAGCCGCCGCCCGTTGCTGACGAGCTGAACAGCAGCAGGTGCCTGAGCGGCGCTTGCCTGGGGCGTGAGAAGGGGTCGCCCTGGAAGCTGATCTGTGTGCGCAGGCTATCCACTGTGAGCAGGCGGATGCGCACAGGCACGTCGGCGGCCGCAACCGCGCTCTGCCCTTCGTCTCCCGCCGCCGTCAGGCAGCACTGCAGCCGCTGCACCAGCTCCTGCACGCTCCACACCAGGCTCTCGCTGATGGCGAGCTGCACAACCACCGGCCACCTGCGGGCCGCAGAGGGGGCGAGCGGCGGCCAGCCGC